TCCAGCGGTGCATGGAGAGCAGAAGTTATTTACATTCATGTTCCAGAAACCTCTGCCTGCAAGAGCAGAATCGAGTTTACTCGGAGCTCCAGGCTACACAAAACTAGAAAAAACTGCTGATGCTAAACCAGAGGCTGCAGTTCGACACCGATTTGCATTTCCCATTGTTGGTTTCAGAAGAAGAGCACCACCAGAGTTCAGAGTTTCGTAGGGCCATAACTCCTTTGGAGCAATATTTTTACTGTTACTTAGATTACAAGGCAGAACTTTAGTGGTGCAGCTGCAACCGGGGCCGTGTGGAGCTCGGCACAGCTTGTACAGACACTAAAAGGAAGTTTTCAAAGGGAACAAGGAAAAGGAAATATGATTAGAGGGGGAAAAGAAACACTGCCGGGAGTGACTTTGTGTGCCGTGGTGGGCAGTCTCTGGCAGAGGAGCTGAGCTGGCAGGCCGGCCCGGGGTGGATTTCTGTATTTCCAGTCAGCACCTGAACCGCATCCCTGGCGACTCACTGCTCTGCTGGTGAAACGCTGCCTCTTCCCACCCGCACTCCTCCCAATTCAGTTCCCTCCAGAAGGCAGCATCGGTGTTTTGGTGAAAAGGACACCAAGAGCCCACATTTGTTGAGTCTGTGATTTTAATAGCCCTATCCAGTGTCATTAACTTTGGTAAATGAACTGTAAAATATGTTTGAATAACATTTGGGTTGGTTGGTTTGGTTTTTTGGGGGGTTGAAAAACCTATTTAATACATACGCAGCTTTCTTTGCTGGCCTGTGATTTAGGACGCCACTCCCTGCTCTGGGGTTTGGGATTGTTCAACCTGGGAGCGTGATCAAACCCCCGAAATGTTTCTTCTCAGTAATTCTGCCACAGTTGTCTGCTAGAGCCCAAACAACCGAGTCATTTGTGAGCCCATCCACAGAGCACGAGGCATTCAGCAAAGGAAAGAGCCGGTCAGCCTTCAACTGACTGCTGTTAAAAACTCTCTTTAAAGTTCTGGAAGAGAGTGGTGGGAGAGGGAGTGAGGAGGAAAAGGAAAGAAATTATAACATTGATCACGTTTGTGTATTGATGGAGGGGGAGAAATGGAAAATGCAAGGAAGGACAAAATGTGAATCAGCCTGGGATATCTTAGAGTCTGGCATATTTGAATGGGACAAGATTTAATTTAGATAAATATAAAATACTACCTGATAGCGCTCAACATACAACAGAGGAAGAACATGCAAGAGAGGAGCCGTAAAAGCTGGGCGTGGAGGGACGTGCCTTCAGCTGTCATTTTGCAGTGACGCTGGCTGTTATTTCAGATGGGGGGGGAGGATCTGAGCTGACACCTTCCAGGAGGGGAGGTCGTGGTTGAAGTCCCAGTCCCAAAACTTGCGCCTGGTGCCTCGCACCTCGGGCCGTCGCTGCTTACCGCTGCGCCCCAGAACGGGCAATCTGGGAACACAACTAGTCAGTAAAGACCGCTTGGGCGGGTTAAAAGGCAATTAAACAGGCAGCTCTCCCAGGAAAAAGGCGGCTTTGCCGACGCTTAAAATACGTGCTGTGAGCAGTGTGCTGCTGGGCGGCGCAGGCAGCTCTGCCCGCGGAGCCCCCCCCGCGCCGCGGGACCCCCGGCAGCCGTCTCGTACTCGCCGCGTGGGTGCGGATGAACCACTCGCCCCAGTTCCTCCCACAACACGAAGCAAAGGGCTTAAGCTTTTCGGTATGGCCCCGCGCTCCCCCGAGGACGCCGGCCATGCACTTGCCTCCTGCCGTCAGCGAGCTGCTGTCGGGCAGGTGCCCGTTCATGGAGCGGCAGCGGCAGGCGGGAGACACGCAGCCAGCCGGGCAGGGCGAGGTTAAGGAGAAAGCCGTTTGCTGGGTGGCACAACAACGCGCCTCGGTCTCTCACTAGAATGGGAATCCCTTTAGAAGAGAAGCAGCTGGGACTGCTGGCAGGCCGGGAGCATCCCTGCCTGCCGGCTGACCCCGAGAAGACATCCCTCCCCAGGAAGGGAGATGCTGGCTGCGATTCTGGAAGGACCGGGCACGTTTCTCCAGTGGCAGGTTCCTGGGGTAAACGGGTTCCAGCATTTCTGAGCAAAATAAGAAATGCAAACCTCACCTGTGAGCCGTTCTTGCAGGCAGTGGGAATCCTCCAGCGTGGCAGGAGGAGATACACAGGTACAGCCGTATGTACACACACATGTGGTCAAAGTTGGGAAGCGTCGCTCCACACAGCCCGCACGCCGGGGGCAGTGCCTGGTTTGGGTTGGCCTCTAACCACAGAGGGGTGCAAGGGGCTTGGAGCGACCGGAGACACACGGGCACCTCTGGGATGGCCCCGGGGGAGGGCTGGTTCTGCTGTCCCAGGGCTGGACACAGCAGCCACGGGCAGGATCGGGCTCTGCTGGGGCGCTGGGCTCTCGCCACACTCCATGTAGGCGGAAACTGCTCTCCCCTTGTTGGCAAGACAGTTTGCCACTCAAAAAAATGAAGCCTGGAGATGCTCAGCAGCTCCTTTTCTGCAGGCAGGAGCAGCAATCGGAAGAGAAAGGTGCTGATCCCGAGGGCCTCAGCACGTGCAGCATCTTTTCTACTAACGCGGGCAGCCGAGCCGGCAGGAGGAGCAGCCTCCTTCACAGGGAGCGAGAGGGCTTCAAAACCCCAGAGCGCCCGACGAGCTGCTGTGCTGGAATGAGTCGCTGAACGAATGTGGTGGGCACCAGAATCCCTGCTGTTTGTGTGATTACGGCTCATTAGAGAGCATCAGTGCTTCCTCCTGGCAGGGAAGCAGCAGCTCGCAGAGGGGGGGACACGGGGTGCAGCGGGGCCGGCAGCCTGGGGAGCCGCTCTGTAAGGGCACGGGAACCCGCCCCGAGCCCCACAGCAAAACCAGCCAGGCCAGGAGAAGCCGTCGGTCCCTGCTCACGCGCGCCCGTGCCCCGGCTCAGCGGCAGTGCTGCTCGAGGCACAGAGCACCCGGCATCTTCTCCCCGGAGCGAGCGCACCCACGTCCACACGGAAACCTGGGGAGGTTCCACAGCAGGGAAGGAGAGAGCACCCACACCTTTGCCATTTCCCAAGCAGGGTGTAGTTGTGGTGTCTCCCCAGGGAGGAGAGTATCGCTGCTTGCTGCTCGTCTTTCTCTCTCCCCTGCTCAGCCCCAGCCCAGGAGGAAAACAAGGACATTACACCCACCGCTGAAGGGAGGCTTTATAAATAGCAAAAGGGGCACCAATGCCTCCCTGGGGGGAAAATCCCTCCCAATTAAACAGCAGAAGCAGAAAGGGCATGTTTGTGAAGGGGTTTGGAGTTAGAAGCGGCCCTGCAGGGCAGCATGAAATACTTGTGTTTGGTTTGAAACTACAGGAACAGGATGACGGCCCCAAAGCTGGACCCTTGCAGAAACTGTTTACTGCCACAACCGTTTTCCCTTTTATTCCCGAGCAAATCGTACCAACCACGCGGGCACCCCAGGAGAGCAGACTGCCCACTGAGCTCATTTATGCACAGGGCAATTAGCACAGCCCTGGTCCACGGGGGGAGAGAAATCCCCACTCCCAGAGACCTGAGGCTGCGCAGCCCGTGGGGATGCTGTGAGATGGCAACTGCACGCTGATCCCAGACACCGCACAAGGAAGAGAAATTGCTTTCAAGCAATTGCTTCACGGGGAAAGATGCTGTGCTACAGCTTTCACAGAGGCCACCCCAGGACAGTCTTGCAGAAGAGGGGGGCTGATTTCCTTTTGGGGGTGGGAAAGGGTGACCAGAGCCACCCCACCCCTAATGACCCAGGGGAACGGGATGAGGCATGAGGAGGGGAGCTGTGGGCGTTTCTCTTTCTGCCAGAGGCAGCGGTTTGGGACACAACACAGAGCCACCCGTGTCCCCTTCCGTGCCCTCACTGCAAGCGTGGGGGCAGGAGCCCAGCCTGCCCCGCTCCTCCAGCCCTGCCTGGCTAAACAACCCCCCCAGGGATGAGCCTGGACCAGGCTTCATTTGTGCTCCACCTTCAACTCGCCTCTCCTGGAAACGGGCGGCCAGAGCCACACACGGGTCCCGGGACAAGGCCTCCCAAATGGACACGACCCCATCCCTGGCTCTCCGGCTGTGTCTCAGCAGGGCCTCTGCCTGCCCCACGGCCGTGCCACAGCTGTGGCACCGCCTCATCTTGTCCCTGCTGAGCCACCCGGCTCTGTCCCCTCAGCGCACGCCAACACATTTGTGGGGTTTTTAGCAGAAGCCCCCGCTCGGAGCCGAATGCAGGCCAGGACAAGCCCTCAGCCTCAGTCTTGCGCGAGCAGTACCTTGGCTGCAGCATGAAAACCAGGCACGTTGCCAGGGCTGGAAGAAGGGGCCCTTCCCACCTAGGCGAGGGAAGCCCGGCACGAGCCCTACCACGCTTCCCCCAGGGGGGGTTGGCGACACCACGGCCCTGCTGCCCACAGAGCCAAGCAGCTTGAATTGTGACTCAGCCGAATTACCAGATGGGAACGGAGAGCCCCGAGAGCCACCGAGTGGCCGTGCCCACCAGCTGCATGCACCGCGCCTGCACAGCCGCCCGGGGAACGGGCGCATCTGAAACTTGTCCTGTGTCATTTTCAACCCTAAAATCCCCCAAGGGCAACGCGAAAGGCAAACGTCTGCTCCCTCTTTTTGACGCGTCCGTGATGCGAGGCGGCTACAAGCCGCTCTGCAGCGTGTAGAGCAAATACCCAGCACTCAGCAGCAGCTCCCCCGCAGCGGTAGGAAGGGGCAGCCCCGCTGCAGCAGCCCAGCTCTGTCCTGAGGGACAAAGCCAGAGCAGAGCAGAGCCCCGAGCCCCTCCGCACCCTCAACTGGTCGCCTTCAGCAGACCCGGCCCGTAACCACAGGCGGCAGCGAGGTGATGCAGCTTCTTGAGGAACCGGCTCCTCAGCAGCACCATCCGAGGAATCCGTAACGGCCATCCGGCTCACAGTACCCCTTAAATTTTGCTACACAGGTTAAGTATAGAATCTTAAGCTTTATTTTTCTATTGGCCAGCAACTTAAACACCAAAAAAAAAAAAAAAAAGCAATGAATGTTATTACACAGAGAAAAAGTATAAAACAACTCAATGGACACAAGCCATTCTTCCTGGCCTTTCCCAACCCTGTACAACGTATTTGAAGGGAATGGGGGAAGGCAGATATGAAGATATGCTTAAGAAACCATAAATATTGCTTCAAGAAACATGCTCAATATTCTCCTCTCAGTTAGTAGTCAATACTTGTCAGGAACTTGATTATGAAACAAGAAATAATTTAGAGATTTCTCCTTTAGATCATTACACAATAATTTAGATTCCTTTCCCCTCTTTCCTACTGCTGTGGAACCAAGGATACACCTCAGTTCCTCCACCTCTCTGCATTAGTCAAGGATTATTTCATGGGACTGATGTTGATGGGGGAGTTTCAGATTGACCTGCTCTGAATTTTAACTTGTCACCCTTTTGCGCCAGTCCAAGATTTCTGCTCTGTGAGCTAAAAGCCCCAGGATGCTGCAAGACCCTTTAGGGGTCTGGGTGATTTTGCTCACGTTAACTGCTGCCAAGGGACAGGGCTCAGCCGGACCCACTGAAAAGCCAGGGAAGGGAATAAATTTGTTTATTAAAGGATTGGGCTGGTCTTCACTGCTTAGAAACACCAAAACCCCACAGCCCTTTCTGTTTCAGGGGTGTAACAGGCATACCAGGGAGGTGAGAACCAGACAAGAGGCGCACAAGATCCTGTGAATTCAGGCTAAAGACCCTGCTGGCATCATGACGGCACTACGTCCACGGCAGCGGGGATGCCGATGTCCTGTGTGTATCCAGGATCCCAATGCAGAGAGAATTTTTAATGAAAACCTATTCCTTTGCAGCAACCAGGCAGTTAACCCAGCACTATCAATTTACCGAGTACACAGGGGCAACTGGTTGGAGCTGACTCTCCTGACCTTCTCAGCAGCAACCAGTAAAGTGGGCTTCCAGATCTCGTTAAAGCCAGAAAATCCTCAGCTGATTAATGAGCTCTTTGGAGGCTGATAAAACATTTGTACGTGTTAATTTCCTGCCCAAGAGAGACAAGCCTGGAGGTTTTAATTAGAAAAATCAAGCCAAGGGCATCTCAACACATGAGAGAGATGAGAAGGTATTTCTACTAACCGGACAGGCCAAAGGGTAGCAAGATATGCCAGCTTCACAAACAGACCAGTTCTTCACCAAACCTCAGCAGGGGATGGGTAGGAGGAAGCAAAGTTTTCTTACTCACACTGGAAGCCACTCAATAAAACAGACAAGACCCAAAAGTCCATCATCTTTGCTCCAGAATCACTAGGAGGCAAAAAGGCCTCTTGTGGCTCCTAATGGCACTGTGCTGGGGGAAGCTTCAAGGAAAAAGAAGGAGGATTGCTGAGAAATCCTAAGGCACCCACATCTTGGCAACATCGGAGTCATGACAAGATTTCAACTGCGTCAAGTGGTGCTCCCGATGAGCAGGGAGAGTAACAACTCCTGTCAGGCAGGGATCAGCTGTGTTAGGACATTGGTGCACACTTGGGAGGAGGGAGAGAAACCTTCCGCGTATGAGAGACTCAGCTCTGGCTCCAGCTCAGCGCAGAAACATCATCTGTCCTCTCAGTCAATGCCTCGTGCCGCTGAGCCACTTCTCAGAGAGCAAACCGTGGTTCTTGTACAGCATCCCGATCCCTTCATGTTGGCTCAGGAAAAGCCTCAAGAGAAATGGCCCTGGATAAATCTTGCTTTGTAGTTATGTCGAGGGACTGTTTCGCTAAAGCTTCTAGCAGAAGAGCCACAGCTCTTGTGTTTCGTGACGGTGAAGAGGACCCGCTGAACTCCTGGCTGCTTTGTGCACAACAAGGAGGGCAACTTTCCCCCCAAAGGGGGCAGGGTGAGGCGGTGCGCGGTTCACGAAGCGTTCACTTACAGAGCCAAGTCCTCAGGTTACAGACACTTCTGTGGTGGTGGTGGTGGTGGTGGAGAGTGGTCGGGTTGGCAGGTGCTAAGGGAAGTGGCAGAGGGGGAGCGACAGGGTTCCCGCAGCTATTAATACGGTTCTGGCTTTAAACTCTTGTACAAGCAGCAGGTGAAAATCATCCCAAAGATCTAGAGGGCGTAAAGAAAAAGAGGGATACGCATGAAAAAGCAGAACGGATGCAGTGGAGGCAGCAGCTTGCAAACTAAGCCTGGACCCAGACTGGAGCGGCAGCTAGCTCCTGCCTGGGGATACTGCACTGCAGCTTGTGATAAACAGCCGGAGAGAACGTGATCTGTGCTAATCCTCGTGATTAATCACCGGCAGCTTCTCTGGGGTGTAATCTGGCTACTTGCCAGAACAAAGGGGAAGATGAGGAACTCTCCCAGACATCCCTATCTGGAAGAAAAGAACATCCTGTGCCCTCCCCCTCTGAAATGGAAGCAGAGGGCATCCATATCCTACCCCTTTATTCACCACCCTCTCCCAAATAACGTGCAGACCCACAGTGCCTTTCTTCAACAGGACACAGCCGAGGGAGAAACTCAGGATGACTTAAAATAATCCTAATGAACCGGGGTAGAAATCTCCTCCAAACCAGCCCCTCAGCGGCGCGGGCAACCACAGCACATCCCCACAAGAGGTCTCTCTCCGGCTGCCAAACCGCCTGCCGCAGCCTTCCCCCTTGCCCCGCTGGCTGCACTCCTTCAACAGAACCGAATTTTACAGACCGGCAAAAGAGACTTTTGCTCCGGACCTAGAGAATCCTCGTGTCCCCCAAAGTACCTGGCAACTTCTCCTTGCCGGGCAGGGAATAGCCTAAAACATCCGATTTTTTTCCATCCCTCAGGTCTGGGGTTCCTTTAACTTCTGCCCAGCACCCACAAAACTCCGCTCAGCCCTTTTACCTGCACGCAAGCAATGCTGATCCCCACCGCCCCGATAATTTTCAGATGCTCTTGAATGAAGTTTTCCAGCTTGGTAATGCAACCACTCTGCAGGGGGAAAGGAGGAACATGGAAAATCAGCTTCCTTTTAACCTCTTGTTTACTTCAATCCAGCAGCCGTATCCCTTGAAAGCAACACTATAAAAAGCAGCGCCCGTGAGCAATCCCTCCCCCTGACATCACTGGAAAAGCTACCCAGATGATGTAAAACGCATCACGTTTTGCATTGCTCTGGACCTACTGGCACAGGAACCGTCAAACCAACCCCGGGTGGCTGCTAGCTGGGCCGGAGAAACGCAGAACTGGCCACATCACACCGAGGGGGCACGTCATTTTTCTCCAAGATATGTGGAGAAAGTTTCCCTCACTCTGCCTGGCACATGCCTGGAGGGGGTACTTACTCCTGACAGGCCAAAAGGCCGAGGAAATGTTGCTGAGTGGATCCAGTACCAAGAACTCTTAACACGACAGGCGCCTTTTAAGGGTAAATTCCTCCCGCTGCTATTTATGACAGCAAGGAGTTTCCGTGTGAACCTGGACCACCAGGCTCTGCCTGGCTGGCAGCATGACCTTTCCTTTCCTGTTTCAGGCCCAAGTTTTTGTTGTCATAAGGCAAAAATAAATTAGTAAGAGCATTCTCTGTTGGTGTTTTGTTTTTTTTGTTGTTGTTGTTGGTTTTTTTTTGGGGGGGGAAGGTTTTCTCTGTTGTTATGGTTGTTTTTTTTTTAAAGAGTTCCCTTTGAATAATTAAAGTGTTTAATCTATTGAAATAGGTTTTCCATGGTAACACCTGGGGGATTTATTGCGTAGGCTACAGCAGGGTCCCGAGGGTGCTGGGGAGCCTCCTGCCCCAGTTTACAGTGCACACACACACACACAGAGGCAGAGGGAAGGAGCGAGCACGCAGCCCTCCAGGGAGGGATGGCAAAGGCCTCGCTTTTCCCATGCCAGCATTAGGTTTTAGAGTCAGCCCCGGCTGCCCTGATATGAAGCAGTTCACTCCTGTTCCCTCAGCTGACCCTTTTCTAGGTTTTCCTTCCCCAAAGACACCGAACTCCTTCCTGAACTCTGACTGAGACCTCGTATCGTGATATGCAGCATCTGACTGTGGATCCAAACCTCCCCTTACGGCTTTTCCTTCCCTAGAGCCCAATACATTTGGTCTTGATAACGCAGCTGGGCAGCCGCCTCCAGCCAGCCCTGCCTCTCAAACGGTTGTGGCTTTCCACTCCCAGAAACACCTCACCAGCCCTCGGGACTCTCTTCTGCACTTCCATTTGGGTCTTGCCTGGGAGGCACAAACCTTCTGGGAAAGCCTTCTTCCTGAGGAGCAAAACCCAGCCAAGCAGCAGGACATAAGAGGGCCTTTGGTAGATCGGAAAGGCTGGACTTCATCTCCCTATTCGTTTCACAAAAATAGATGGCTCATTTCCTTTTAGCTGCTTGAGTTGCTTGGTTTGCTGCAGATGTTCTTCACGCTCCTCTTCCAAGTCCTCACAGCCTGTGCTTTGAGCAGAAGAAATACCTGCTCTGAAGGGGCCACCTCTTCATCCACATCCCCCCCCTAACTGTCAGGGGACAGGAACAAGGAAAAAGCTCCAGTTGCTGCTCCCCAGGCTCAATACAGCCAGCCAAGGTGCTGGTCCCACTGATGAGAAAAAGGACTATGCTACCCCACAGAGCGTGTCACCGTGAGCAAGTTAAAGCCATGTGACAGGACTGGAGGCTGCCAAAATAAATGCAAGGACTTTTACCAGCCTTGTGCAAACTGGATGAATAAATGGTCTGAGAGCTACCTGTTTACTTACTCAGCTAGTCTGGGATTCAATTTGCTGCTTCTAGAAAAGAGAGAAGCCCCACTACCTCATCTCCAGCCTTCTTTTCAGCCCAAACTGCAGCCCGCTGGAACTGGTGTAATTCCTTTGCTACAGAGCCCTCTTTCTTCCCCACATGCTGTTTCTTCATGCTGTAGGTCAAATCCACTATCTCAATCCGGGACCAGAAGTATCTCCATCTGCACCTCACTGAGTAATTCCAACGACAGGAAACTGTGTCCAATGTAGGGCTCACATCCAAGCCTCTGGCCAGAACCAACCCCGTCTCTCACGTCCCCCTATCACTAGCATACTCTGGAGTAACAAAATTTATTATTCTTCTCTATATTTACATGCAAAGTAATAGATGGCTGAACGCTCAACTAGAGAAATGAATTCTGCTTTCTAAGGAATCCTACTGACTTTGAAGCCTACCAACAAGTTTGCAGCAATAACCCAACACCCTCACTCCCTGTCCACCTCCTTTACATACTCTGTGACAGGCGGCTCCGAGGCCCTTTTGCTCTTTACCTCCTTGTAGATGTTGGAAGGATGGTCTCTTCGGCCACACAGGTCGGTTATCGTCTTACAGCAGCTGTCTGGGACTTTTCGTCCACTGGCCTCTGGCGATTTGATCCACAGGCTGTCAGCCCAGTCCGTGTAGTTGTTGCTCCCACAGCACTTGAACTGCATGCACACAGAGCAAAGGCTGAGCCTGCAACCACTGCAACCTCCTCCTCCCTCCAGTCTCCCACACCAAGTCCTGGGCTTCACCCTCCAGCTATCTCATGGGCTTTTTTTTTTTTTTTTTTTCCCAGGGGAAAGCCTGCTATAATTATTAGTGACTTTTGTGTTAAGAGTCCCCAAAATGGCCGTTAAATATCAGCTTCATCCATCTTTCAGCAGCTGTGATTTTTTGTTACTGCTGGGATGAACTGTAACCAGAGAACAACTGCAGCTGCCTCGGCTCTTAACCACCAGACTGGAGAGCGTTAATGGTGATAACGGGGTAAGTTTAATTACCAGTTACTATTGCAAATGCACCTGCTATGGAAGTATGTACCTAGCAGGCCCCATGCTTTGGAATTACCTGTGCACGAGGGTCCTTTTTGTGGGAAAGCCTGTCAAAACTGCAGCAGCCCCAACCTGAACCAGGCACAGTTAGCAACAGTGGCAGGAATGCTCTTCTTTCCTTACACCTTGCTCTCTAGGGTACTGGGGAGCTTAATGAAAAATGTCAGCCAAAGCTTTGAAGTGGGAAGTAGAAACAGCTGTCAGAGTGACTTGGCAGCTCCAGTTCACTCTGGGAGCAATTCAGGTGATGTTTCCCCAGTGCTACTGGGCATTCAATTCAGAGATCACTCCAGGCAATTCTGCTGGTTGCACGGCCCAAGCCCTGCACCCCCATCCAACCTTGTCTGGAATTGGAAGCAGCAGAACGTGCACTCAGCATACAGAAGAAACACCTATACGTTGGATGTCGAGAGCCCACCATGCCTTTTGTGTGTTTGATTTTAAGCCCTGCGATTGCATTAACTCTCCCTGCCTCTAGAGATACCTACCTCCTGCTGCAGTTTGTCTACTGCACTGGTAACACTCTCTTCTCCCTCCTTCCGGTACTTCTGGGTCATGGTGTTCTTCAAATTTTGCTTCAGCTCCATGCTCAGCTGAACGGAGGAGATAAAGTGTGACAAAAATCAGAAGGCAAACTCACCCCTCGGAGGGACCCAGAGCCCTGAATACGTTTTGCTGCCTTTGCTCCAAGAGGAAAGCAGATAGCCTAATGGAAGTGGAAACTACAGCTTCCTTCAAGATCATCCTCCAAGGTTGGACTGGCCAGACCAATATCCAACCGATTAGAGGTCGCACCTCTATTTTAATAACTGGGGAGAGGTGCTTCATGACCAAGTTCCAGCCTCTGTTACACATCACCGTATGGATCCTCACCTTAGCCACGTAAGATTGCCAAGACATGCCTGCATCAAAACAGAATACTCTGCCTGCTTAAATCCGAATATGCCTGTGAGACCACATGCAGTCTCCTGCCTCTGAAGCCTGTGACAAAATACTCAAAAACAAACCGCTCTGTCCAGGAGCAGGAAGAAATCAACAGTCCTGGGCGGGCTGGACTGAAGCCACATAGTTTGAACAGCTCTTGTATTGGCACCAAAAAGGATGCCACACAAGGGAATTAAGTGTGCGACTGCCAAAGTACTGCAAGGCCTTTCTTGGTAACAGTGAGACGAATTCTAATTCTGAAGTACAGAATTTCTGAAAGCATCATCACAAACCACTGGCACGTTCAGGTGATTAGGTTCAAACATTTATTCTTGTGGAGGCTCTTTTAACATAGCTGAATTCTTCTCACCCATCCAGGTGACAGCCAAAAAGTGCCAAAGAGCTGCATCATTCATACAGCAACACTGCTTTAATCCACCACCTGTGAAATTCTAAGCTTCCTATACCAAGAAACAATGTCAACATGCATTTTAGATGGGGTTAGTGAATGAAACAGGTGGGTAACCTCTCTGTACATCTTTTACTCTACACAGTAAGTAGTAAACAAGAGGTCAAAGATCTGGTTATACTGAACTGTGCAAAATACACTCTGCAGTTTATTCTCCCTTTGAAACGCTGTTTTTTTCCAACCCCACATGTCAAATGGGGACAACACCTACCTCACAGAGATGATATGAGGCTTCATCATTAATATTTGCAACATGCTTTGAGATCCTGGGCTGGAAAGCTCTACAGAAGTGCAAAGGACTTAGTGTAATAAAAGGAAAGCAAAAGGTGCAGCAGCTGGAAGGCATCAGAGACAAATAAAGAGGAGAGTCCATTAGCAGAATTATTACTTGGGAGAAAAGCAGTTACCTGCAGGCTCACGGGGAAGAACTGCAGCATGGAATAGAGATAACAAAAGAAACAGTTTAGACATGCATGCACAAGCCTTAAGATACCAAAGCAAGGGCTGAAATAAAAAGTGGCAGAGGAAGCAGTCTGCAACCAGGAAAGAAGGGGGATTTGTCAGCCAGAGGGCAAGGGGAATTGCAGCCATTGATCAGAGACACCCTCGAGTGACCTAAAGCACTCCGGGGTACAGCTCTGAATATGCTGTCCTTTATTTCAACCTAAGGATCAGCTCCTCTTCACACACTGTCATATAGGAACCTCATGCCTTTGCATGGATGGACTGATGGACCCTGGCTGCCTGCCAGGACTGATCTTTCCCTGTTCAATACGCACACTCACACCACTGATCCCTCCTGCTGGGAGCCAGCACGGTTCTTTGGCTCCTCGCAAACCGCCAGTGCCCACCTCAGTGAGGCAGAGCACGGAAGGCCCAGAGAAAAAGGAATGGCAAGGAATTCTGGCAGTGAAGCCAGCAAGATGGGATGTCCAGCTGCTTTTCAGACAACCACTTGACAACAATCCTAATTTGCCATTTCCAATCGATTTCCACACGAGAGCAACTTCGCAGGTTGTTTGGGCCTTGGTGGTGAAACCCCCTTTGAAAATGAAGTGATGACTTAAGCCTCTGCTCTCTGCAACTGCAAAAAGGGCCAAGCTAGAACTGCAGCTGTTGGGAGCCTGTTCTCCAGCCACTCAGCTGAGTTGGTTAAGTAAAGCTCTCAAAAACTTTCTGACCTGAAAGGACCTCTCAGCTGGACCATTCATTATCTTTGCCAATTCAGAAGTGTGGCAGCTAGCTTGCTGGATGCAGCAGGGACAGCTCCTATGTCCTGAATACAGTAAATGGCACTCATGTGATTTCAGCTGCACTATGACTTGAAGGCTATTAGGAGAGCTCCTAGATCTACAGAGCCTCAAAAACTGTCTTCTACAAGGCTCTACAGAAAAACAGCGCAAAGGTGAGCCACGGGAAGGAGCTGAGCAGCCTTCCTAGAGTAACCACCACCACTTTGTTAAAATCAGTAAATAATACAAGGCCTTCTGTATGGGGAGGGGAGTGAGTACAGACATGTGGAAAGGTGAACCATGACCAGACCCTAGGTCCCAAGCTTCCAAGCCCAATTCCAGCTGGAGAAATAGGATGATAATCAGCAGCTTTCTCTCCCTGGTTTGAGTCTCTAAGGACTAACGTCCACTCACCTGTTGGTAATAGATATAGGCCAGGATTCCAGCAATGATCTCCAGCAGAAAGATGCACAGCAGCAGTATGAAGTACTGTAAAACAATGGGAAAAAGCAGAAAATTAGAATGGAATGTGAGGAGATGCTGGGAACCAGCTTTCATTAGCTGGTAAAATGCATGACTCTTGTCTTCATCGACGCTTTTCTGCAGCAGTGTTCAAAGGCAGGGGTTGGGATTAAGACCAGGGATTAAGAGTAGGAATTGAACAATCCCACAGGTTAAAAAAAAAAAAGAAACCAAACCACGGGATAACTGAAGACAAGCAGCAGCAAGTGTGAGTTTAACTCACAGACCCAGAACGAAGTAGAGAATGGAAAAGTGTAGGCCACTGAGATAAGATCACTGGACAAAAGAAAGTGGTTGTTGGATAACCTGATGACTATGCTCAGTATCACAGAAAGCATCTGATTCTGACATCAATACCAGAAAAATTTGCAATTTTTGCTTGTTTTGATATTGTTTAGGGTATTTCATCAAGTTACTAAGCAGTAATGTATGTTATAATGATGATTCAATAAAGCACCAAAGGGCCCATTTCACCAAGGATGGAGCAGACCAGCTAAGCATAAACCATAGATTTATGTTCCCAGTGACTTCAGTGGGGCTCAGCCACAGGCTGAAGGGCACTACTGAAGGAGATGGACTTTAGCACTGATTCACACTCAAGACTGTGACTGTATGTTCTGCTGAACTAGGATCTAGAGTGAAAATCTCAGTATCTCAAAACCAAAGTGAGAAGAGCTCTTAGAAGACCAAGAGGAGAACATGACTATTTCTTAAAAGGGTTTAGTGGCAGTGAAATGAAAAGGGATCTGCCCTGCTTACCATGAAGAGAATCAAATGGACAGTACAGAAAACTGTTTGGGAGCACAGTTCCTATACGTGCCAAACCTATGAGGAGGAGTGTGTGTACTAGATTAAAAGACCTGGGCAGGACTGAAGACAGAGGGTGATGTGGCCACTCCCTGCTCAGGCTCAAAGAGAGCTTATGGGGCAGAACCCCTTTCCTGACACACAGCCCCTGCCTTGCTCCTGGCCAGCAACAAACAGTTTCTTTACAGATCCAGGCTGTTCTATGACTGCTGTTAAATTCACGTTTCTGTACATAAAGCTGGAGAGACACCAGTTCCAGCCATAAAGAAGACCTCACGCTAAGCCCCTGTAAGAGTTGATCTCCCCGGGATAGAACAAACAAAATACTTCCCATTTTCTGTTTTAAACCTGACTTTAAGAAACTGCTGTTCCCAAGGGACAAGGCAAACGGGTCCCTACATATGTAACTGCATATCAAACCTTCTCTCTTTCTCCCTGGCACAAAGGACCTGGACATGGCAAGCTCACCCACACAGCACGGATGCCTTTTGTGGCACAAGGTTCACACTCCCACTGCGCACCCTTCTTCGCTAGGTACTTCCAAGCCCCTTTGCAGGAGCAAAATGACACAGACATAAACACTCAGGCTTCCTCTTCCAGTCCTGCTGGGATTCAGCAGCTGCAAGGGATGGACAGTTGGGTTTTATCTGCAGACTGGGCTTTAATCTGAGCACACAATCTCAGGCTTTCACCCCTCAGCCCCACACTCTCCCCTGTGGCTGAATACTGACCATCTCTGCAGAGGCCTGTACAAGGTACCCATTCATACCAGGGGAATGAGTCACCCAGTGGAGTTCGGGATAGCTAACTGCTGGTCCCAACACAGGAGGTTGAAAAGGGGCAAGAAACCATCAGCATGCCTTGACACAAAGGCTAGCTTTCTTTTGTTGGGACCCATTTACGCCCTAACTGCTCTGACATCATCTCTCTGCCAAGGCGGGGGCAGGAGGGCGGCAGGACGCTGAGAACAACCAATGATTTGGGAAGTTTTTTATTTCTTTTTCCCTGCTCTGTGTCGTCATGTCAGAGGCATTCAGGTAGAGCTGAGCTGTGTCACCACAGATCGGCTCATTGTGCTGGCTTACGGCGGAGAGAAACAAACGTGGATCCAGCAGACCTTAAAAAATTTGAGTCACAAGGCTCCTGTAAAACCTTGTAAGGGAGGCTGCCACCCACGAATCCAACCTGTCTCTGCTGATACACTGCATCATTATCCTTATCTCAGTCTCATCGTTCCCTCTGGGCCACTCCCAAGTATCGTGCTGGCAAAGGGGAGCAGCAGCTTTCACTCTGGACACACACAGAGCACAGGGCTGCTCTCCTTGCTCTCCATCAGGAGTTGCAGGGCTTTCTTACACAGGTCTGCTCTAGCAGGAGGCCAGCTCTGGCACAGAGCTGCAGGGACATGTCCTGCTCGCTTCCCAAGAGGCTGCGGAACAAGTCAGAAACGTGGTATCCCCTGAAGGCCCCTAGTAGACACACGCCTGGACCTGGGTGGGCTCTGGGCAAAATTTACTCTTACTCTGGGTCCAAGCCAGAGTCAGGGCCATCTGGAGTCTCCTCAAGACCTACAGAGTCCAGATTTGTTCCATCCAGTTTCAAGTGTTTGAGTGAAGCACCAAGTTTTAGTGTGTTTTCCCTGAAAAGCCCAAAGAATGGTTCAACTGTACTCCTAAATCAGCAATCTCACTTCAGTGGGAGGACTCCAGGCTGAAGTGCAGTAGGAACAGAAATCGTAACCGATGTGTGTTCCCTTCTCCCTACCCAGGGTAGCTAAGCAGAAGTGGCAGTGTGAAGGGCCAAGCCTGAAGAAATCCACCTTCCTTCCTTACATGCAAGTTCTTCTATTTGGTGGGTCCTTTCCTGAGACTCCTGCTCGCATACTTTTGTGTATGAAAGCATGCATCTTGACTGAAGTATAGTAGTGGTTTGTGTGCTTGTAAAGAAATGGCCTGCAGCATCACATCCAGCCAGGCTGCAGATTCACTGCCATGCCTGCTCACGGAGCCAGAGAAACTCCACATCTGCTGCCCAAGCCTCGGCACATCAGCTGGCTAAGGAGGGAGATGAGAAAGGCAAAAAAGCAATGACATTAAAAAAAGGTAGCACAGCTGTGAGTGATGACTATGAAAAGCCTTGAAGTGGGCCCATAAAGCTCATAGTTAGGTAGAAAGACAGCGAAAAAATTCGCAGCTTCCTGAGTCTTTAACAGAAAAACAAACTAAAAACCAGATATGCATTTTACAAACAGCACCCAAAGCTGTCAATAGTTGATTTTTGAAAGTATCAAGGAGGCACTGGGGAGAGTGGACAGTGCTGCTTACAGCACTCCCTCCCATATTTATGTGGGCCTCTGGTACAGAGAGAAATTGGGACGGGCTGGCACAGACCCCGGGGCACTGACTGCGAAACTGTCAGGATTACTGTCTGAGCTCAGAGCTGGCAAAGGCCCCCAGCCAGGCTCACCCAGTCCTGGCAAGCACAGCCCTACCTCTTGTGCAGATTACTCACCCACAACCAAAGCTGAGCACAAGCAAGAAGAGACAATAGGCCCATCACAACCAGCCACTCTGAAAAGGACATGTGGTGTAAGGAGACAGAGTGATCTTTTGTTCCCCAGAGACAATTATTAGTTTTCTGTGGCAGAATAACAAAGAAAACCCCACCGGATTTTCATCCATAGCTTTTGGCTGAAGCAAAACGACAAAGGGAGATCTCTTTGGCGTGGAGAGTAAGTGAAGCAAGGCCAAAACTGACTGCTACTGACCAGAAACCTAATGAACAAGCATCAGTAATGCACTCACTGTGTCCTCCTCTGTGTTTTATTCTCCCTTCCTGGCTGTAACCCTGGCTCTCACAGGGATTACCAGGCCTTCAAATCAGCAGCACAAGCATCAGGCTTGCTCATGACTCCTATTTCTGCTCCTCTATCCAAACAAAAGAGGGGAAATGGGACAGCCAGGTAAATGAGGATTTACAAAGGAAGGAGCTGGTAAAGAGTTGCTGAAGTATCCTCTTCTGTAACTGTGAAAGCAAAGAGCCACTGGTTGTTATTTCAGTCACTGCACTCACCACTATAGCTCAGATACTAAAAGGGACTGCTGCCGCCACACTCCAGACTGAAATGGAGAAAGTGGAATAGAAACCCTAGGGCTGGTCAAAAACTTCAGTGTAGGTGGGTGAGTAGGGAGCTCAGGAAGTAACACAGGGAGAGGCGTAAAAGAAGCAGCAGATCATTAAAACAGTGTGGCTTTTTTTGTGGAAGCAAAACTAAAATAATTTTTTTGCAACTAAAGGAAGTATTCATTGCAAACACTCTGGGTTTTGACAGCCAAGTGAAAAACCACGTTAATTTGGCTTGAACTGACTGTCATTAAATGCTGGTTTTGTTACAGGTGTCTCAGTTTCCTCTCTCTTCCCATTTTCCAAAAGAATATGGGATGGGTAGAGAAAAAGGGACGAAAGCCATGAGATTTTGTTTTGAGTAGTTTCAAATAGACATTCTTTCACAAAGTATAGGTATTATGACTATCCTTTGTACTTCTGAACCATGCAGTGGTATGCAGATTCTTTGGGTGGGTGAAAGGAAATGCTCTGCAGTAGAACCTGCTGCCTAGGACAAGGACAGCACTGCTGTTACGAGCTGAAGGCCTTAGTGGTATTTGTTCTTGCACAAACAAATAAGGTTGGTGCAGAACACAACCAAGATGTTTCCCCTCCCTCCCTCCCTCCCACCACGGTTCAAGACAAAATGGGGTGAATCCACCCCCAAACAAAACAACCAAGGAAAACTTACCACTCTTAGCAAATTCCGACGCTCTTTGAAGGTGGCACAGCAACCAAGGATGCCAGTAACCATGACAACCACCCCGGCTACCACCAGAATATAAGCAGTTGCCGAATACGTGCTGGAGGAGAGCAGACTGATGTAGTCACTCTTCTCAGCTAGAGTCCAGGTGCCCACTGCCATCACGGCCCCGCCAGCCAACTGGGTAGAGAGAAAAGCAAGAAAATGAAGGGCATCTGATGCACAAAATTCCTCATCTCCCAGTGCGACTGGGCTGGGATACCAGGACATGCCTCAGCTCCTTAAGATGAGCCCAAAATAATCTATGCTAAAGGATAGACTCCCAGAGGTCTCACTGGGACTGGGAGCAGGCCCCAGTGCACTGAGGCAGGGCTGGGCTTCAAGGCAGCCAGTTTAGCACCCCAGTCAGCCTGAGACGCAAGCTATCTGAAGCATCTACCTGTGCACAGCAGTTCCTACTTCCCAAATATGCCTTCCCAAAATGTAGCCACAGTGTTATCTGGGCAAATGTGAAAAAAAATGTCAAAATCCATTGGGGTGCTACATAGCAGCCGAGGGGAAGAAAACAGCTTTACATCAGCAAGCTTTCCACTGTTTGTCAGGGAGCAATGCTACCAATAAATGACAACCATGTCCAATATCTCCTTCCTAGACTATACATCTGAGGAGAAAGCAGCCAAGGAGCTAAACAATCTGGTTGGTTAAACTCTAACCCTTGCAGCAAATTAACATGGAGAAGCCCACCAGACTTCTAGCAGTCCCTTCTCTCTTTGCAGGCCTTGTGTTTCTGGAGGGTTTTATGCAGCTTCTAGTAAGCTCAGACAGTTTTCCTTAAAGGTCTGACCTGGACACTCTAATGCTCTGTCCCAGGCAGCAAAGGAAAAAAACAATCCTTTGGCACCAGTAACTTTTTGGTGGAAGCAGAAATCTAGGAGGCTCTAGTGCAGACCCAGCTGCAAGAAGGTGTTTGTTATCCTTGCTCTAGCTGTCCCAGGACTCCCTCTGCCACTTTGAAAGGAGGAATGGCAAGACAGTGGAGTCCTCAGGCTTCCTGAAAAAGCAAGCCAGGTGAAAAAACAAAGCATGTTTTGAGACTCCCTGTTATTTTCCGTAGTTAGTAACATGACCTAGAAACAGGCAGAGACTATAGTGGAAAACCATAACTTCTGCAGCCTGGGCAGGCAAGCCCAAGGGATGGTATTTCACCTCACCAGGACAAAAATCTGTGTCCTACTGACATCAGCACTTTTTGCCAAAGACTTCATCAAGCCCAAGATTTCTGCGCCCCTGACACCGCAACTGCAGTGCCATCTCAGTGACTCTGAAACAGGCTGAAGTTTCTTACCCAGAAAAAGAAGTTGAAGATGAAGAGCAGGTACTTGAGACAGATTGTCCCACATGTTTCCTTCTTTTCTGTATACTCACGCATCCTTCTGGCTCAACAAGTTACTGAAAAAAAAAAAAAAAAAAAAAATCAGAAAAGCTTGAGTCAGTCAGTCATCACACCCCTTTTCCCAAAAGGTGAGCATTACTAGTCTCCTGCAAGAACTCAACACTTCTGACCTTTTGCTGAAATAATCCAGTAAGCAAGCCATTCAACTGACTTCAGAGATGTTAGACTGTGCTCGCTTAGATAAAGAGCTCTTGTATCCATTTGGGTGACCCACGCAGCACGAGACCTCGCACAGTGTGAAAGGGAGGCAGATGGTACCAGCGTGTGGCCTTCCTGCACTGCCTTCACCCTCCTCTCTCCCCATCCCGCTGTCACTTCTGGAGACTCATTTTCCTTTAGATCAATACTTGCAGTGGACGGATCAGACCTACCATTGTGCAACCGGTCAAGCTAAAGCCAACTGTGATCAAAATGTCACAGTGAGGAAACTTCAGTACAGTTAATGTTCACTTCTTCCCATCTGAACCGAAATAAATATCTGGCCCCTGACTGAAGCCTGTAACTGCTGCTTCTGAATGCAGCAGACAAAAACCTGTCTTTGACATTTATGGAATAATCTGTCTCCAGAGAATATTCTTTCCTCACTGGCACTAGTTACAACTGCCTTAAATAGATCCCTCTCTATGTTTGGGGTATTTTTAGTGTTTACAATTGTAACTGGGAACATCCTTGTTATCCACTTAAATGCCCTATCCTTTTTGAACCCCAGCAATATGCTGGAGTAATTAATTCTCTTCTTCACTCTGCTTATTTCTCATGGCCCTCCTCACTGGCCAGCTGTCTCCTAGGGCAGCTGTCCCGGCTACTAAGAGGGAGAAACATAACGATTGGCTTCAGATGATCCGACAGAGTAGAATGCGACTGCAGATGCATCACGAATGGGAGTTCATCGTGGGTCAGTCCCAGTGCAGTGCTACAGATCTGCTATCGTCTCGAGCAGGTTTCTCAGAAGCAGGTCTGCAGCAAGTGCAGCTCCGTGTCACTTCACTGTCTCCTGTTGATGCCAGAAGGTCTGAACCTCTCTCAAAAAAAAAAAGAAAAAAAAAAAAAAATGTCACCACTGCCTGACCAGGCAGACAGGACAAAAGCACTGCCCAGCGCATCACTGCCAGCATCACCTGTGTGAGGCAGTTTGCAGAAGTGCAACCAAATCCAAACCACCTCTTCTGCATCCAATTAAAAAAATCATCCCTTTGTTCCCTTACCAGCCAGCAGGGAATAATGCTAACATCTTGCACGCATATTAGAGCAAAATGCTTTCCTAAAGCAGCAGTTCCCCTGGAAGTGGGCAGGCAAACAACCTCTCCCCTCTTCCAGAGTCATGGAGTTCATGCTTGCTTAGATTACAAAGCTTATTCCCACAAGTGATGCGAGCTTCCTCTGGGGGCCCACTGCAGCTGCAACCCAGCCATGCAGTACAGACACTCATCCACCTCGGCAAGCCCACTGCAAAACACCTGGCGGTAAAGAAAGTGAGCAGTGGGTATGCACAGCCAGGCTGCGCATTGAGTGGCTCTCAGGTTGGATCAGTCAGTTTTATCTTTGCTGCTACATTGCTAACATCTGGCTTTAGAGCCAGATGAACCAAGGCTGGGAACAACAGCTGCCCATTCTGCAGCATAATTGTATTTTATTTGCAGGGAAACTGTTTCCTTTTGCTTCAGGCCAGCTCCCTCAAAAACCCCAGCCCAGACTGTGCTTTAGAAACTAATAAATGAAACTCACAGGGAAGGCAAGGGTGAAAATATGCCAGCAGTCCCACCCATGCCTGTCCCCTGTCACCATTTCACAAGAAAACACTTTTCTCTAGAATAACATCTGGCAACAACAGTTGGCAGCAGAAGGCTGTCTCACTGGCACAGGGAGCAGCTCCAAGGTGGTGGCATATATCAAGGAGAATAAAAGTTATCTTCAGAAGAGATCAGAACCTCCAGCAATGCTCAGATTAATTACCATGTTGCCGCACAAAAAGGCCCCGGGGCAGTGGGGAGAAATGGATGCTGGTAGTACTGTATGCACCGAAGATGTGAATGCAATGTTCATGGAAGGTGACAGATTTATAGCTCCCAGAGGCTTCACTTAGCCACAGAACAGGAATGGCAGCAGAGGCAGGCTCCCACAGCCACACACACCTGCACAACCCAAAACAGGTACCTCAGCCCAGACCCAAGAGATGGCCTCCAGTAATAGCCTCTAAGGGCTGTGCTTGGCTTTTTGCCCACCACTTCTAACATCAAGGCCGTATGTAGAGGAAAATGCACCGCAGGTTTGCTGGGACTGACCCTGGTTCACGTTCACTGATGGCCAGGGGACAGTAACAATGCTTACTGTCCTCGGGCTGGCTCCTTGGCCCAGCTTCCCTCTTGCTCTAGAGGATTTCAGGAACCTTTCCCCCATCCCCTTAAAGTATGTCCCATGCCAAAAAAAAAAAAGCCACTACAGGTATTCCCACATATCACCATACAGCAGGTGCTGGACCCTAGCGAGGGATGCTAACTTGTCCCTCCTCCTGATCCAAGAGCTCAGAAATCCCAGATTGAGCTGCATCTCATTCTGGGTGAGGACTGGGCAGGCACCCAGCTGAGACCATACTTACACTCTGATGACAGAGAGTCTGAAAATCCCCTGAAGCCTGCAGGTCCTGCTCCACTGAGCGCTGCACACAGGCCTTTCAGGCGGCTCGGCTTCGCTGCTGCGAGGAGGGGATCTGTCTGTTCCCAGAAAGCTGGCAGGGAACAGCTGCAGGTTTATGAGGCACGGTGATTCACACAGGGATGGCAGGCCGTGAATCAGAGAGCAATCAGGGCTGTCTCCTGTTTGATCTATCCTTCCTAGCCAGGAGCAGAGCTGATGGCACTGGCTGCCTCTGCATGCTTAATGACTCACCCAGCCAGCTATTCAGGGAAAGGCAGCTCTCTCCAGACCCTCCTCTTGGAACTCTGTGTGTTTGTGCTCTTTGCCTCACACGGGTGGCCTGCCGCCTCCCGTCGCCTGCAAAATCAGGGTCAGGCTTTAGGGAGCTACGCTGGTCCTCAGGGGAGGCAAGTGAGGGCAGGAGGCAGCAGCGAAATGCCTTTCCCAAAGAGCCCAGGCAGCAGAGAGGGGAGCCACAACCTGCCTCGCAGGCTAAAGGTGGCTTTTGACTCTGAGCCTCACAGTCCCAAAAAGCACAGAGGTGATGATCTACGCCACAGCACCCCCATAAACACTGGAGGCCTTATCCTGAATTCGCCAATGTGACCAGGGTCTCTTGGCTTCAGTCACCTTTATAACGGACCCTCAGGAGTGACACCAATCACTCTTGAAACCAGACAAGAAGCAGCAACATTAATTAACACATAGAATTATATTCTATTTTAAAACACCGAGGCAAAGGCCTAGTCTGAATCATATTGATAATTACAAACGACCACTCCATTGGACAGAAAGTAGCGAGCTATGTCACAGGGGTGTGTTTACAAATGCATAAAAACATATTAATTAGACATGAGCTTCATAATGGAAAGCATTTTGCTAAATGAGAAAGTGGTTAGAAGACCAAAAGCACTTCCATAATGAAGTTCACTTAGTCCAGTCCAATAGACAGTAGCTTCATCGGCAAGCTAAATTTCAGTGAGCAATCATGGGATACAAGATGTAAAATGTAGTCATACAATGCAGTAACCCACCAGAAATCAACAACAGGTTCCTACTATGCCCACACACACTGCAACACAAGTGACAAGGAGAAATAATGTTCCATCTAAAACAAAATGCACAAAGATGGGAGGAAATACAAGGACTCATGTAGTGCAACACCACCTGCACATGAAAGGGAGGGGTATCAGTTTGAAGACTGCTTCAGAAAACTGGGAGTTGAACAGATCAAATCTGATTCCCCACTCTGACACAGACTTTGTGCACGGCCTTGAGCAAGTCCCTTAGTCTGTCCCTTCCCCTCTGCTCTTCCTCCACCACCCCACCCCCCCCACCCCCCCTGCCCCGTGCAGGACACTCATCTTTCTTTGAACCCAGTGATGTAAGGATCTGCACTGAGAACCCCTGCTGACAGAGGAATGCCAGCTGAGAGGCATGGCAGGCTCCAGGTGACTGGTTTATTGCCAAAAGCCCTACAGCCACACAATTTCACTGTCTCAAAAGTGCTTTTGCCATTATAGGCTACTTTGGTCAGTGAACTGGAACAACCTCTTTTGGGGTTAGTAAAATCCTTACTGAGGAGTATGGAGTAAACTCCATAATGAGAGGATTGTCAGGTAAAGCAATTTTGGCAACCATTTACAAGGCATGCTGGCTCAAATACACCAAAGATTGCAGGATGCTAGTAATGAAGAATGAGAGAATGGAGTAACAGTGAAGCATCTAAATGAGGAGCAAGAAGGAAAGGATGACCCACCTATTCAAACATCTCAAAAAAAGGAGAAAAAAAAAAAAAAAAGAGAAAGAGAGTGAGCTCATCCTACCCTGTGTGACTGCAAGACACAACCTCGCAGCTGGGTAAGAACACACAGTGCATGACTGCCAGGCAACACAGGGGTCCCTCCAAAACTGAAACCATTCCATGGCCTGATTTTCCCGGGCTCTCATCCTACCAGGACTGAACTCCTGGAACAAACCAGGCAACAGGAATGTACCAGAAGTTGAGCAGTTTGGGAATACCTGCACTGGTACCTGGGAACACAAGCACTGCACAAGCCACTGTTTTGCTGTGCTGAGCCACCCAAAATCTCAACGGCAGGACTTGCTCTGGTTATCCCACATCAGACCACTGTATTTTTATTTGCAGGTCCAAAGGCACATACAGGCACGCACTCACATCCCAGCTCAGAAAGCATGTAGCATGCACACACACTCCTGCTGGCTAGACATTCATTTAGTCATCACAGACGTTGCTTGGTACTTTTGCCTCAACTTGCACAGTAACAGTACTTAATTAAACAGCAAAGAAAGCCAGGCCTGCAGGCTTTTTCTGGCACAACCTGCCCTAAATCAGTGTCTGACGGATGGGGAAGAAACAATGCCAAAACAAATGAAATAGCTCCCAGGCCATTAAAAGAATCATTATTTTGAAGTATTGATTTTTGCATGATAGCAAGAAAATTGGTATCCAACGCATCAGTGAAGTCTATTCCATAGATAACTTGTATGCCAGAAGTTAGGTAACTTCTAACATCTTTGCCAACACACACAAAACAGGCCTGCTGCAGGAAATCCCGCTGCACCTATGCTGCTATCCAAGTGCAGTTCCTAAAGGGCTGCAAGTCCAACATCAGCTACACTGGAGTCTACCTGAGCTGGGCCAGATAACCCTGGCCCTGAGGCAGCTCCTCAGAAACAAAGCACATGTTGTCCCCTTGGTATGTGCAATGCAGATGTAGGCCAGTAACCTATTATCTTCAGCAAACCAGCTGAAGACCTTATTCTCCAGCAAGGCTAAACTGCAGCCTTTGAAAGCACGACCTCTCCAAGTTCCGTCTCTGTAAGATGAAAGTATTATCGTCATTTTACCTGCCCCACTGAACGTGCTCAGAAAAGGTCTCCAGCTGCTTCTCAACTTTCCAGCACATCTCTCACAGCCCAGAAAGCAGCCAGAAGTCATTAACTAAAGCCTTCCCAGGAGAGGAACTCTAAAGCTCGAAGGTGAAGAGCTCCAATTTACACAGCTATTGAGTGCCATTATCCACCCCAAACCAACAGGGAACACAGGTCAACAGTCTTGACACTGACCTTTCACCACCAAGGCAGCTTACAGCAGCAGTGCAAATGGTCAGTCCTCTTCAAATGCTTTCTGCCACCCACTTTCTTCTTGCTGGCTCTGGTCCTTTGCTGGATTCAGGAAAGCAGAGAGCTGAAAAAGAAGAGAGATGCAGAGAATCATGAATTATATCACAAATTATTCTGCGAATCAGTATTTGATAATATGGTTTCCCATCAAGTCCTCCTTTTACTAGAGAGCATGCGATTTCAGAATACACCTTATGAATGCATTTGATTAAACTGCACTGGATAATGGGGGAGAGCCAAACCATGGCAGTGGGGAGCATGAAGACCTTCTGATGGTAGGAACCTGTCAGAACAGGTTTATGTTCACCACTGCATCCTGTAAATCCCACTACGGTTTCTGTCAAGGCTGTGTATGCACCACAACAGCTCATTCTAGTGCAAAAAGCCCAAAAGTAACTCCATGAGAAAGCTCAGGAAGAAGACCCTTCTGTGCAGTGTGAAGCCCTAGCTGGTGTTAGTGCCTCGAAGCGATCATTGCTCCTAGCCCTCCTACAGGAACTGCCCAGAAAGAGGAAAGTGGTGGACAGACAGTACCAGAACTCATTGTGTACATCCATCCTCTGCTCCCAGGGCTTACAAGCCCCAGGATATAGAGCACAAACCAGAGCAGGACCCCTACAGAGAAAAAGCATTCCAGGAATTCACTGTTCTTCAGTTTCTATCCCTGGTGAAACATAATCAAGACACAAGTCCTAAGCACCACAGCAGGATCTGCTGGAAAACAGCTCCCTGAATTCATCTGCCACTGCCACCCCTCCTAGACCAAGGCTTCAACTTCCCAGTGTAAACGCACAGTACCTCCCTCAGATAAGCAAGAAGCCACAGGAAGGTGCCTTCAAACTTAACAGGAGTTATTTCTCTACAATCTTACTACATTTATAGAATACTTTGGGTTGGAAGGTCCAACCCCCTGCAATGAGCAGGGACATCTTCAACTAGATCAGGTTGCTCAAAGCCCCGTCCAGCCTGACCTTGAATGTTTCCAGGGATGAAGCATCTGCTCACCCCTCTGGGCAACCTCCTCCGGTGTTTCACCACCCTCACTGTAAAAACTTTCTTCCTTATACCTAGTTTGAATCTACCCTCTGACAGTTTAAAACCATTACCCCTTATCCTATCACAACAGGCCCCACTGAGAAGTCTGTCCTCATCTTTCTTATATGCCCCTTTCAAGTATAGCATTGAAAGGCCGCTCGAAGGTCTCCCCGGAGCCTTCTCTTCTCCAGGCTGAACCCCCCCAACTCTCTCAGCCCGGCCTCCCAGGGGAGCTGCTCCAGCCCCCCCAGCATCTCCGTGGCCTCCTCTGGCCCCGCTCGAGCAGCTCCGGGTCCTTCTGCTGTTGGGGGCCCCCGAGCTGGCCCCAGCACTGCAGGGGGGTCTCCCCAGAGCGGAGCAGAGGGGGAGAATCCCCTCCCTGGCCCTGCTGCCCCCCCTGCTCTGGCTGCAGCCCAGGGCACGGGTGGGTTCTGGGCTGCCAGCGCACGGGGCTGCCTCACAGGCAGTTTTCCCCCCACCAACCCCCCAGCCCCTCTCCTTGGGGCTGCTCTCAATCCCTTCATCCCCCAGCCTGTATTAATACTGGGGGTTGCCCCGACCCATGTGCAGGACCTTACACTTGGCCTTGTTGAACCTCATGAGGTTCACATGGAACTACTTCTTGAGGTTGTCCAGGTCCCTCTGGATGCCATCCTGTCCCTCAGGTGCGTCATCTGCAAACTCGCTGAGGGTGCGCTCCATCCCACTGTCTGTGTCACTGCTGAAGATATTAAACAGTACTGGTCCCAATACAGACCCCCTGAGGGACACCACTCATCACCGATCTCCACCCATACATTGAGTTGTTGAATCTCTGGATACGAACACCCAGTCAATTCCTTATCCACCAAATAGTCCATCCATCAAAACCGTATCTCTCCAATTTAGAGAGAAGGTTGTGTGGGGGATGGTGTCAAAGACCTTACAGAAGTTCAGATAGCTCTTCCCTCATCCACTGATGTAGTCACTTCATTGTAGAAGGCCACTAGGTTCATCAGGCAAAACTTGCCCTTGGTGAAGCCATGCTAGCTAACTTGAATCACCGCCCTGTCCTCTATGTGCCCTCACATAGCTTCTAGAAGGATCTGTTCCATGATCTTCCTAGGCACAGAGGTAAGGCTGACAGGTTAGTAGTTCCCGGATCCTCCCTTCTACCCTTTTTAAACATGGGTGCGATGTTTCTCTGTTCCCAGTCACCAGGGACCTCATCTGACTACCACAACTTTTCAAATATGACAGAGAGTGGCTTGGCAACTAGATCAGCCAATTCCCTCAGGACTCTGGGATGCATTTCTTCAGGTCCCATAGACTTACCTATGTTCAGGTTCCTCAGGTGGTCTCAAACCTGGTCTTCTCTTGCAGTGGGACGAACTCTACTCCCCCAGTCCCTGCCCTGAGGTCCATCCACTTGAGAGGTGTGGGAAGAGAAATTGCCAGCGAAGGCCAAGACAAAAAAGTTGTTGAGTACCTCAGCCTTCTCCTCATCCGCTGTTACCAGTTTGCCAGTTGTGTTCATCAGGGGGGTACACTTACTTTGACTTTCCTTTCCTGGCTGACATACCTATAGAAGTCCTTCTTATTATTCTTCGCATCCCTTGACAAGTTCAGCTCCAGGTTACCTATCCCTGCTTCCACGACCTGTGCATTTCCTTCTTGTCCTTTAGTTTGACCAGCAGGTCTTGACTAATCCATGCCGGTCTCTTGCTCTCCTTTCCTGATTTCTTACCCGTAGGGATCAAAAGCTCTTGTGCTCTGTGGAAAGCGTCCCTAAAGACCTGCCAGCTCAGTTCTGCTTCCTCGTCCCCGAGGGTGGTTTCCCAAGGGGTCATACTGACTATCTCTTTGAACAGCTGGAATTTTGCTTTCCTAAACTTCAGTGTCCTGACTTTACTCTTCTCCTGACCCTTGTTCTTCAGGACTGAGAACTCCACCAGTGCATGATCACTGCAGCCCAGGCTGCCTCCGATCTCAACATCACCAATTAGCTCCCTTGCACCGGTCACCAACAGGTCCAACAACACATCCCCTCTGGTAGGGTTGTCTGCTGCCTGGCTTTAAAAGCTATCCTCAATGCACGCCAGGAGACTCCTGGATTGCCTACAGCTCGCTGCGCTACTTTTCCAGCAGATGTTGGGGTGGTTGAAATCCCCCAGCCGGATGACAGCCCCTGAGCCCGATGCCTCTTGTAGCTGGAGTAAGGCAGCTTCATCAACAGGCTGCCCTTGATTGAGCGGCCTGTAGTAAACACCAACCACAAGGTTCCCTTGGTTGGCTTGGTCTCTGATTCTTACCCATAAGCTTTCGACCTGCTTACGGCTACTCTTCAGAGACAGCTCTTCACAACTGATCCATGTTTCCACATAGAGGGCAATGCCTCCAGCCCTCCTTCCTCGCCCATCCCTTCTGAACAGCTTGTCATTGATAGCGGCGCTCCAGTCTTTCTAGCAGCATGGTGGCTTCCAGCTCCTCCGGTTTAGCGCTCGTGCTGCATGCATTGGTTCAGAGGCACTTCACCTGGGCTGTTGGCTGTGTCACCTTTTCAGAGGAACACACCTTCAGTCCTTTGAGGTATTTCACTGATGTTTCCAGGTTGGCTTCTATTACTTCAGGAACCTCAGCTCACCTCTGCAAGACTTCAAGTGTGCTGCAGTGTACGCCGCAGGCCTCAGAGCAACAGGCTGAGGGACCTTGCTAGCACCCCATCCCTCTAACCTCGATGTGTCATCCCATGGCTTGCCATTTCTCTGGAGGCAGCCAGGCTGCATAAGGCTGCTGTACTGGAAAATGGCCTCTAGCATCCCCTCTGTCCACTGCTTTTCTAAGATAAAGGGTCCCAAACTTTTTGCAATTGTTTGCACAGCCACATCCTCAGCTATCTCATCCTCATCCCACAGCAGGCTGGTTCAATCCTCCCTGCAACGTTTCCATTGGCATTGCAGACGTCAGGACGGAGAGGGGAAGAGAACAGCAATTCTTCCTTCCTAACCTGTCTGTCTGGATACTGAATTAGTGATCCTTTGATCTACACCCCAACACTAACTTATTTCACAGCCCAAGGCTTAAACTCTTACCTATCACCTGTACCAGGATATGGAAGCAGTAATACTTCCTGACTTGCCCGAGTGGGATAATTGGGTGTTTGCAAACCACACGGGAAGAGAAAAAAAATTACTTTTCACTAGCAGATCAAATTTAACACAATCTATAAGCATTTTAATTTCCTATTATCTTCAAGGGGAGGTTCCTGCAGGTCTTTACATAGCATAGTATGGGCAACACACCTTCATTTATAATCACCTTGGTTTACCCCTGCTTACACTCCCTATGAAAATGAATGCTTTGGTAAGAGCTAGAAACTTGTTGATTCATATTACAATGTAGCCTCTAGACCACAAAAACATCTTTTGAGAGAAACAGTGGAAATCCCAGCACCTGAGCCATTGAGAAGCTGGCCAAACAAAGTCCTGGAATCATTAATTAAAGATCAGACAAAGGAGCTTGCTGAGAACTGGGGAGAGGAGGGAAGGCACAGGCAGTGTGGTCACCTGCAAAACAAGCAATAGTGCTGAAGGACTCTCAGGCCCGAGGCTGCGCCCAAACTCTCTTCAAGTAGCCCTCGTGCCCTACCACTTACCCATCTCCTTCATGCTGCTCCCCCACTCCTGCCCTCTCAGAAGAGAGAGTCGACCCAGGTTGAAAAGCTGAACGCGCTGCTTTCCATCTCAGCACGTTGGAACATGCTGGAAAGTCAAAGTACTTGTGCCTCGAGGGCTGGGGAGAAGGCAAAACACAAGCTAGACATCCAATGAAGCAAAGAAGCTCCTTCTCAGGAACTGTCATTTACACTGGTGTGTGGGTCAGGCGCACAGAACAGGTTTTGGTCCAAACCCCTCCTCCCTGACCCTCCACATGGAAGCTGAACTCGTTTGGCACTGCTGAAAGAGATTCCCCAGACCACAGCTTGGAAACTGCCTTTATCTTCTTCTGCCTGTTGTCTAAACTGATTACGTGCTCCTGAGGGCACAGAGT